ATGATTTAGGATTCGGATTTGACTATTGTACTCGTGTACTTTTTTTACTGTAATAGGTCACATATAATTTGATCGGTGTAGAAGGTGTCTAGTATAAGTTGGATGGAATTGTTGACTGCACGGATGGCGTAGTGGTTTAAGCGGTCGCCACGCCGCTCACTACTACGCTGAGTGTTGTGGGTCCGATCCCCACATGGGACGACACTTTGTATGATCCACAAATTGTTGACCCCCGCGACACAGGATATATTCCTATCAAAAATAAACATAAAATAATATTGAAGAACGATGGCATTCTACTGACAACTACATGGCACCTTTTCGAAAACAAATTGATTGACTAAGTCTAAATTTATTTAATTCTTTTTAGTAGCTACATGACATAAAAGTTCGTTTTTAAAAGTTTTAAATTTATTTTATTTATAAACCTAAAACGAGAATGCCGATTTACTTACGTTACTCTCAAACTTCATTCTCCCTGACAATACAAATACAGTTTAATCTACTAATAATTTACTTTTTCACTCTATTTGAAGGGCAATATATTACAAGGGGATCGTCTAGTGGATATAGATAAAACAGAGCATGTTAAAAAGGCGCGCTTGATGCAAGTCGACAAGCTCCGGACACCGCACATATCATCCGGTAACGTTTCTGAACGAGCGACAAATAGACAATTAACCTCGACCATAGATTACTTTTTTCAGTGGCTTTTTAAATAGACTGTTTATATCTTTCTAAGCGATTAGAAAATGGTAAATTTATAACTTGGTGTGATTTCAACCATTTGGTTTGTTAATACAAAGAAGAACGGCAGATCCTGTACACCTAGTAGTATATGATGGATAGTTATGAGTTTATGAGATTTGTACCATTTATAAAGTGAATTATCCTAACTATTTTCATGTAATTATAGTATTTTTAGAACTTTGCTAAAAGTGTATAGATTATTCTCAGTGCTACAAAGACTATATTATTAGTATCTTTTATACCTTTTCTGGTCTCACGTGATAACCAACACGAATTCGTTGTACTCTTGCTAATTCTTATCCAAATTCATATCCATAGGTAGTATAGTAATGGCTTTCCTCAATAAAAGCCGTGTCCAAAACATATCCACACAAGGACTCAAAAGCTACACACATAAAATTTACATCAAAAGACTTCTAAATCCAGTAAAAAAAAAACCACAAACAATAAATATAAAATATTCAACATGCTCTTTATCCATTACAAAAAATTGCTTGTTTTTACTTTGGTGTGTGGTCCATTTGACCCCTGCTACGTTAGCACAATCACGCCATCTATTAGAAATCTTTATGGTCATACATTCCCCTTTTAACGCTCTAGTGATTTAACTCAGAATGTCCCCTTTTCCTGTAAACGGACTACTACTATAGTACTAATGTAACGGACATGTACGATTCACTTAATTACTTTGTATGTTAGTACACATAGTCTTGTAGACAAAGTGAACATATTATTATTTAGATTTCTTAAGCGGGCGCCTCAAGCATCATCATCATGTTTGTTTTATTATATTTTTAGTTTTCTTGAAATTACATTAATAACAAGATTTAGCAAGATACAAGTTGCCGTTAATAATAAGAAGTCTATCTACCATCTTCCTTAACGTTTGAGTTATAGCTCTAGTTGTATGTGTATTATTTTGTCCCAAGTAACAAATGATGCAATGTAACTAAAAGGTTTAAAAAAAGCTTAATTAATCATTCTAATACATAAACGTAGTATAGGTACACTATGTACCTGCATTGTTCACTGAGTACTCGTAGGATGGACATGACTTTGATGTACGACAGCAAGAGTTGGGCATAGCAGAAGGACTCTGAAAGTATAAATAATGTTACTTGGAAATTCAGTCACTGAAAAGTATGTGTCGTGTACGATTAATTAAATAAGATATGTAATAGATACTTATATTAGGTATTGCAACAGTTTAGTTGAGCTAAAAAGTATATTATTAAAAAAAAAGTTTTAGTCATTATGGGTGTATGGGTATACTTAAAAAAAATGTTTTTGTCATTATCCCCCTCATCTTCAATGTTGCTCCTATCTTATATTATTGAAAACTATATGTTTTCAATCTGAAAACTAGAAAAGTAACTAAGTACTTTCCACTTTAATAAATCTTTCTGTCTTCCCTTTGAAGAGTGGACATCCTTAAGTAATTAATACATACAAAACGAGAAGCAAGTCGGATACGCATCAATCCACAGCCTGGGGTAATAAAAGGTGTTACAGTGAATTGGGATCATGCCCTCCAATATTAGTAATCACGTGCCAAGACAGAATAGCTGGGGGTGACCCGACCCCACACTTTGAACCGAACAAAAATACCTCGTGAATGTTTACGGGTTAATCAACGCGCACGGCTCACTGAATAAGAAATTCATTATTCTGCCATATGCATTCAGTTACGATGTCAGATAGTAAGTTCATTTAGATTTATTTACGTAGAGATTATCGCTATGATGCTGCAACTAACGTAATGCAGTTATACGGAATATTTTAAGAGACAGCATGGGGACGAAATGAAGAACAGATACAGGCAAACGACCCTGAACTGTTATATTAAATTTTGTGAACACAATTGTGTTATTATAGAATAGTATTGCACTAGAGTTACAGGAAGAAAGTGTACATTAAAGTAGACACATAAATCTATATATTAATGACAAAAAAGATATTATAATCCTGTCTATTATGTAGTACATCTATTATATTGATCGTATAAATGTAATCATTTAGCAGTAAGCTGTTCGTAAAAGAAAAATAGACTTCTGCTAGATGTTACCTTACTTAAAGAAAGAAGAATTACAGATTAATGATATGTTGATAATGTACCCACTATGTTCCTGAGTTTTAGACTCTTTTTGCAAAAGAGTGAAAAACGGCAATAAAATAAAGTTACTTACAACAAATCTAGTAGAAGAGATACTTCAATAACGCATTATATCTGCTAGTTGTGTTCCATAGAGTCATAACGTTTATAGTACCTACATTCGTTGATTGGCGCGAGGGGACGTTGATTCGATTTTGACATTTTTATTGGACCATATTGATATGCTTTGTGATTAGGAGCAGTGTCATGGGCTACGAGATATTCAATTGAGAAGGGTCAGCGGGCCATACGCGAATATTACACATGACATTTGTATTCAGAACTAAACAAGGTATTCATGAATCATCACTTCGTTCACTGGGTTAGCTCGAAAGGGTTTTTTTTCATTTACCGGTAGTAGAATAAACTATTAATAACTACATATATTATAAATTGTAAGAAATGTGTTATGGCTTAAGTACTCGCCTCTAAGTATAGCATCGAGGTTTGTAGGTTTAATAGTCACTTTCAAAAAACGTTTTTACTGGTGTACTATATTCAACAGTGGGAATATTAATCTAGTACTCCAGTACTAGATTAATATTCCCACTGTTGAATATTTCAATGACAAAAGACTGGAGCTGGCTAAAATATAGGTAGATTTATAATCCATTCATAAATCTTTAGCCGCAAAACCTTGACGTCTGTCTATTTTATTTCTCGCTCAGATTTTATTCTATTGAATAAGAATAAGATAGATCAAAGGATATTTTGAACCATTGTGTTGAGAATATTTTTTTAAGCGACGCATGTCCGAAGAGCGAACGGAAGCGAGGCTCGTGTGTGAACAGCATACTGACTTGTTCAGTGAACGATGCCATCACCGTCACTTCTATGCCTATCCATATAAAATTATATCCTCTTTTGATGGGCATGCTGAGATTTTTAAAAGTTAACATTTTTTAAACATTTGGTTTCGCCAAATTAGTCTCGTCTTCTCTGAGATTCTGTGAATATACTTATATGAAAAAACTGGTGTCCTCCTTTATTATTGCGACTAGATTTTCCTTTGACTTTTTTATGTTTAATGTCCAAGTAAGTATTTTGTTGCTAGCCCTATGTAACCGCCAAAAATACATTATCATAACTATATTCAAAACTGTGACAGAATACATATGAAATTAATTTAAAGGGTTCAAACAAAAAAAGGAATTTTGAAAATCCTTGTATATATGACAGAGACAGACATGTTCATAAATAAAAAAATATAAACATCGGAATTGACAACCTCCTCCTTTTTAAAGTCGGCAAAAAAAGTTACTAAAGGTACCGATATTAGGAATATTCACAATTTTAGTTCAGACACGTAACTCTGTATACTAGAGCTCAGTTCATTAGGCACCATTAAACCCTATAGTAATTTATGTAGTGGCTTATGTTAGCAACATAAGCCAATACATGTCATTAATAAATATACAAAACGATACATTTGTTACCATTAGCCAACAATAAAAGACAAACCCATCTGCTCTAAATGTATCTTCAGATACATTCCTAATACCTATTATCGATAATAATAATAATAATAACACACACATCTCACACACGGCAGTCTGTTCTTAAAATAAGCAGAGCCTGTGCTATGGTAACCAGACTACTGATAAATTGTACTTAAATATATTAAATACATACATATAATAGATAAATAACACCCAGACACTGAAGAAATGGTCGTACTCATTACACATTTATTTAATCTAAGTGGGAATGGAAACCACGACCTCCGGCTTAACAGTCAGGGTCACTAACAACTAGACCAACAGGCACGTATTATTAATAATTAGGTATATTATTCTTTTTTTGCGAGAAGCCCAAAATCGATCTAAGTGGCGTGCATTGGGAGAGGCCTATGTCCAGCAGTGGACTGCGATGGGCTGAAGATGATGTTTTTTTTTCATTGTTTTAGTTGTATTGGAAGCAATATACTTATTAAGACGTTTACGTAAGACGGCAAACCCGTTTATTTGAGAAAACACTAAATATATCTTTCTTCGGCCTTTAGTCGTTAGTTGTTTAAAATAGGATAAACACTCGTGTAGATAATGAAATTGTCTAAAGTTCATTAACATATTTATAATGCTATATTACCTATTTTCAGTGCGATGAGGGCGGCGGTGTTGCGGACGGAATCAAAACGGAGCCCCCGGAGGCGGAAGAACCTCGCACCATGCAAAAGGTGCCATCTCTCTCCGACCTGTCTGACCCGGAGGCTTCCTTAGGTAAGTCTATACCGTATGTTAGCAGTCTGTCAGTTATGTCTAAGGGTTGTCTACAGAGCATTTCATTTATATATTTGTATATAATATTATTTTCGTATATAATTTTGTCCAAAAATAATAGTAGAAAGCGATCTTAGCATTCTGGGCAAGATTACAATTGCTATCCTGCAGGTTTCAAATCGGGGTTTAGTTTTTTAAATTATTTTTTATTTAGAGTAGGCCCTATAAAGTATTAATAAAAAGATCCGTCAGTAATATAACTTTAAAGTAAGAATGTTAATTCACATATTAAGTAAGTGATAACACCGCTTCAAAGGTTTTCAATATCTATGTCTTGTTGCAAAAAACTATAAGGATGTCCGCAGATACTGTACCTTACCAACCAACCATTTAGATGCACGTTTTCAGCTAAGATGATGACGAATTCGCTTTACAGTAGATCTTAAACATAATTAGATCATTCTATAAAACAGCCAGATGTGTCCACCAGCCCACTTAAAACAAATACGGCTTACAGGATGACTATATAGAACACAATCACAGGGCAATACATAACAAAGTTTGATGTGCAATTTGTCTAAACTAACGATGTTATCCTGGCATTGGACAATCTCCACCCCAGTAAATCACTGTGAGGAGCGGCACTGACTTCTGGCCAACGTGAGTAGTGTCCGGTCTTATGTCCCTGTTCACGCCTTGTTGCTGACATCCGGTTGCATGCAATTTTGTCTTTCTTACACTAAAAAGTTTGCAAGAATATCAAGACTTCACCCGGAGAATACATATATTTATATTACAATATACATTCCAATTTTACTACTTGTAAAATTGGTGCATATGTGTGAGAAAACGAAAGCGACAATTAGAACCAGAGAAATAGAGAATGAAAGCTTTGAAAACATAAAAAGTGTACAGAAAGAAATCACGATTCAAGTTCAGTTGAAAAATGTGAAAATTATATAATTTTGAATGCTTAATGACAAATCTATGCATGCAATACCTCTCATTAAAAAAGATGTAAATCGGGTATACAGCACGGCCGGGATTTCATTTTTGTTTTAATTTTTATAGGTTTTGTCGTAATTGTAATATAAAATATACCGGATAACTAGACTAAATAGTTAGGAATAGCAAAATTAGTTTTAGAACGACAATCACTTGTAAATTTGTAAAAGTACTCTTTCATTGAAACATATAACCTACTGGTTCTCTATGCTTTGTTAATGAACTTTAACTAACGATTTACTTATCTGAACACTCAAAACTGGTTTTTACTTCAAACATTATAGAATTTCTAGTAAGCGGAAACTTATAGGATCTATTTACAGGAAGTAATAGCGTTGCGATATTTCACTACAAGCCTCCACACCTCGCGACCTTTCAACTCGGAAGATTTATTGCAATACGCACACTAAGTTATTGTCAAATGCATACAATTATTATTGTAGTTTATCTTAAAGATTGTGCGATGAAGGTCATGGAAACTTAAGCAGAAAATAGCTATGGAGATTTTAATGATTTTATCATCCTTATCTGTATAAGAGGCCACCATTTATAGTGTTGTGTTGTGTTGTATATTTACATATATCACAATCGCGGTATTTTTTACAGTAAAATACCTCTACAGTGTACTGGTTGTATATTTGAAGATTTTTTAAGTAAATTTCAAGATTTTATAAAATAAACCGTGTAGGGGTTTTTAGATAATCCGACAAAAAGCGTTTACAAAGGAGGCCAAGTTCTTCTTCACGAGTCGCTTGCGAAACATATCAGACAAGCATCACACACACAAGGTTAATTTAAAACTATATCAACAATACCTTTGTTATATTATGTAGTAATATTCTACGATTAGAAAAGTATACTATACGAAATATGATCATCGCTGTTGTGCTAAGTGTAAAAAAGTTAAAAGAGTAGAAACAGTATTAGCATTTAGCAAAATACTACTACTGTTTGGCCTCTATATACTCGTATCATCATGTGTCACGGTTATTTCAGTAGTCAGTTGAAATGGAGTCAGTGAGAGAAACAACAAACAAAACTTAGTGAACACAACACAAACACATACAAGGATTTCTAAATTATGAGAACTTTGTTCTTTGTACCATGTACTTTCACAAAAATGGCGAGAATAAAAACATTTTAAAAAGCTCTTTAGTGTTCATAAATATAAATTGTAAAGGTACTATGGGTACGGAAGCCAAGATCCGTAATCTTAGATGTGTAATAAACGCCAGCTAACCTATTAACTCGTCAATCAACGGTCCTGCTCGTATCATAATATTTGCTACTAATTTATGCGCGCAAGAGCATCGACCCTTTCAAGGAGCAGCGCAGCCGTGTCTCTTCAGGGTGGGCCAATATACGGGCCTATTGTTTTCTCCGTCCGTCTGTCTTTTACGTGGGAACGACATATTTATATTTCAAAAACGTGAGCTAAATAAATATTGGTAAATAGAATTGTAAACCCCTGATACAATATCAGTTGAAAAGGCTGGTCGGAAGTACAAACCGCAACATTTCATTAATATATTTAATTGATAAACTTCGTGCCGGATTTTCCTTCATTGTATAGTAAACAAACCTTGTCGAAGCATGAATTAACGTTGGTATAAAATGCAACTTGTGCGGTTCCGAATGAATTGACCTCGTCGCGGAGTCTGCGCGTGGTAATTACAAAGCTCCAACTTATTAGCCGATCATATTAGTATTATACCACCCTCGATGCAAGCGTTACGAGTAAGCTTTCTTGTTTGAGCGAATACTAAAACAAAGTACTAAGGGTTCTTTTAATTTTTACTTTAAAATTAAGTAACTTTCGTAATATAGTTTGCTTATTAATAAATTACAGCTCTGTTTGCGGTATAATACGAATTTTGAAACTTAAATTACTTACAAAAACTACACGAGCATTCCTTTAGAGAGTACGCCATTACGTCATACGGTAAACCATTAATGAAAAGATTTTAATAAATCAACATATTGCTGTCCACTTCTGAGCACAAGCTTCTACCAAACGTGCGCTATAATCATTGGTCCTGCGCCTTAAGTATTATTTAGTTCGCCTCATACGTAGTAAATTATTATTCGGAAGCATCTCCAATCTTTTGGTTAACCTCTGTGGAAACTGATCTGAACTGGGAGACGATCTTCCAAAATCAAAAATCCTGGAACGAAATACGTCAAAAACCTTAGTTACATTGTGTGAAGATGAATGTAGAAGCGTCTGAAATGAACACAATTTTTAAGCAGGGATTTAGTGACGACACCTTAAAAACAAACTAAACTAAATTATTCTTAAAAACGTTGGGTGAAAGAAGCTGTTGATGTTACATTTATTTTGGAACAAACTGATATAAATAAATCGTGAAGCTGTGAAAATATCAAGAATAATGTTAATAATGAAATTACAAACTGTCAGCGGCTGTTATCAGTTCTCGCTAAAGGGAACAATGGTAGCAATTTGTGCACGGCACTATCAACACCCGCGTATAGATATGAGCAATAAATACTATCTGCATTATTATAATGTGCTTTTTATATACATATTTACAAATAATTATATAATTAACATAACTAAACAATTGATTATACCACAATAATATTGTTTACATTCTACAATGCAAAGTGCAATAATAAAATAGACCCGTAAGTTTTCATAAAGTTCTTATATTATAGATACCTTTATAACTTTTTGTAACTGTTTCACATATTTAAGTAACGTATTTCACTTTTTTTTTAATTGACTACAAAATTTCACATTCTTCTGTGCGCGAAAATGCTCCAATGACGATGTAAAGTATTCTTTTCACGTATAATATAGAGAATACACTTATCTCAGATAGATTCTATAAATTAAAAATATTGAAAGCGAAGCAATTAAGAGCTCAGCCGATTTCTTTTTTTTTATCATCATCATCATCATTTTCAAAGACGTACGTACGTACGATTGCAGTCGGAGTGCAATCATTTTGTACGTCTCTTTCGGGATTTATGATTGCAACTAAAATCATTAAAATAGGCCAAAAAGGTAACGAATTTTCGTTAATCATATAAAACAAACGAATTCGACATATTGAGAACTTCCAATTTTTTTAATCGTTTTAATAGATTTTAAATCTTTGTAATTTATACTATAATTTATATCTCTCATTGCTATAAATGTTTAACACACGACTCCGACAGTCGTGTGTTAAACCAAATGTGGACCAAAATGAATATTATAAACTATTTTAGATATTTATTTGTTACTTTTATAGATTTTTTTTAATTATTTATTGCGCATTGCCGAATGGAGTCATAATTATGGACTCAAGGTTAATCCTAAAAAGATGCAGGTATGTGTTATGTTATTGCAGTCCTGGGCTGGTCTCAAAAATTTACTGGACTCAAGTTCCTCGATGGCACCACACTTGAGATCAGTACTAGTTTTAAAAATTTAGGAATTTGCATAGAAAATACTTTAACTTGGGGACCTCATTTACAAGAAGTTAGTCGTAAGATATTTGCTTGTGCCGGGTTCATGCGAAGACTACGTAACTTTCTACCGACTGCAACTAAGGCTGCACTTGCACAGGCACTTCTCCTTCCGATTCTCGACTATGCCGATGTCAGCTATCTGAATCTCACTGAAACACAAACACAGCTTGAGCGACTTCAAAATCTCTGTATACGATTTGTATTTGGACTAAGAAAATATGATCACGTTTCCGAATTCCGTCATAAGCTCAAGTGGCTTCCAATTCGCTCTCGCCGGAATACTCATATACTCATTTTTCTCTATAATATCTTATTCAATCCCAGAGCCCCCTTTTACCTCAAAGTACGGTGCAAGTTCCTTCATGACACACATGAAAATGTCTGAGGTCATCCGAAGATTTGAGACTTGATATGCCTCGGCATTCTACAAAATTTTATAATCTGTCTTTTACTGTTGAAGCTGTACGCTTGTGGAATGCATTGCCGATAAACATCAGGCGAGCGCAAACAATAAACAGTTTTAAGAAAATGCTTCAAGATTTTTTTGTACCGTAATTAAGACAGCTACGCACTCGTGTTAGGATGTGAATGTTTTCTTTTTTTTATATGTGATATACTTAAGTAGTTATGTATGTATATTTACTGGTATGTATAAGTTTTTCTTTGTATGTAAATAAATATGTATATGTATATTTATTATATTATCTCTTTTAAATTCGTTAGCCATTAAGCTAAAAAACTCATTTCACCGTCAACTACCATTGTCTCTTCGAAACATTTTGATCCATCCTAAGATTGCTTGGAATAGATTTTTGCCGCCCGCCGCCCTTTGTACATTATATGTCTGACACTTTTATGTACCATAGTTTTTTTAAACGGGGTACAAAAAAAAGAGTTTTATCTATCCATCTATCTAAACACTAAACATCTGATGCGTTGCGAAACTCGCGGAAGTATATACCACAACAAATGTGTACGTACTGAATCTATTTATAATTGTTGGATGTTTTTGTCACACATTGATTATGTTATTGCGCCAATGTTGCTGCAATTTGTTCTAAAATATAAACAGTAAACACATTTGAAATAAATCCATAAAAATGCGGTAAATAAATGGAAAGCCGTTGTGGCCGCAAGCTGTCCACTTCGGAGGATGTTGGAGTGTCCACTTCCCACGAATGTTGATCCATACACAGGATGTTGCCAAAACTGTGCCTCGCACTCCGTGTATAATACTTTAGTCGCATAACTACTAAAGTTACGAACGGTTACTTGGAAAACAATTTAAACAGTTCGTTTACAAACATGAGACTAAGTTTTAGGTTGAACTAACATTGTTGATCACTCATTACGTTTTAGTTAATGGTTGCAATGAACCATTGACTATATCTTGTATATTTTTTAATTTTGTATCTCAACTCATACACTGATAATAATGAGATGGAAAATTGCTCTAGGGACAGATGCGCTCTGGACTAATTATGTTATATTGCAAATATAGTATAGTATAGTTATGATTGCAAAAAAAAATATTAAAATATAATTCATTTTCAATTATATTTAATTTAATCATTCAACAGCAATATATTGTGCGTCAGATGTCCGAAATATTGTTATTATAATATTATTTGAGTAGTTTATTAAAGCTATGAAAAATATTTAATGTGTACCCTTAGGTTCACTCCAACCCAACCAATTTAAGTATGCAAAAGCTCAAACTAAAGAGCTCGTTCATGGAAGGGCTATACCCATGCTTATGGGTACGCCGCGTATTGAAAGTACATCTTAAATACTGTCAGCAAAAAAACCTCCGTACCCCGATTCGAATAAAAATGTTTGGAATGTTCCTTTTGTTTTGAAATAGTATGTTTACCATCATAAATACTCTGTATCACAGTGTGTAACGCACTATGCGTTAAATATTAATTCGCTTTATTATATTTTTTGACATATCGACAATTGCAAATGTGTGTCTCACGACATCGCTTCATAGTTATTTCACCTGTTTCTTTTCTTTGGTGTCAACAACTAACAGGACACCAAATATTAAAGAACACCTTTTTAAAAGAACTGAGTATTGATAAATATACTCAAATGACTTTAAAAAATATGCATATTAATAAAAAATTGCCATTATAATGTAACATAATATTATGGGCGTGCTAAGCGGTTTTTTATGCTCGATCAAGTGGAAACCAAGTTTCGAATGTCACCTGGGTTTTATTAAAAATGTGAATATAATCTCTGTTTTTTCTCGTTCAATGTCTATTTTGCCTTGCAGCTGTTTTTCTCAACGTCGTGCAGCGAGCACATGTGGATTTCGATAATCCACAGCCTGTACCACTTGCGTGTCACATGGCAAACCATAATCAATGGTGACAAGATCATATTATTTTGATTTATCAGGTTATTCGTTATGGGAAAATGTATGTTAAAACTAAATAAAATTACAAATACCCAGACGAATAATATAACCAGTTTGTTAGCAACTGTTACTATTAATGTTGTTATTAATTATCTTTTTTATATTTATAACGGCCAGTGTCGTGTAAGTGCTAAAAATAACAAGTTATTTTCTCCAATACCTAATAAATTGATTTTCGTAGATAATTAGTCTGTTTTTGAAAGTGACATCGTTTTGATTGAATGAAGCAATTTTATGCACCTGACATTATTTCTGTAAATGCGGCTATGATACGAGATTTATATTTAGGTATGGAGATTATTTATTTAGAGATTTATGTATATACAAAGGACATAAATATGATGCTGAAATATATATTATTCTTTATATCTTCAAGAGTTGAATTTATTAAAAAAAACATATCGAAAAGTACCACTGGTACTTAGTCGTTTCATTAATTGATTGTAAATATGGTCAAAAATTGTTTGATCTTTGGAAAAATAAAAATGGTAAAAAGTCCGAATTCGCTGTTTCAATTTTTATAAAAAGAAAAAGAAAAGTTAAGTACCTAACATTTAATTATTATCTATTTCGATGTATTCACACTCTCAAGATGTACATGTACCTATATAATATCTTTTAGTGTATACGTAGATATATAGAATATTATTTATTGTATATCGTGTAGTAATACAATCGATCTTAAATTACCCTGTGTAATGGTCGGTCTTATTGCTGATAGCAATCTCTGGCGCACAACCTTTGTGTTTAATACTCATGTTATTGGTCTACTAAGATGACTAAAATACACACGTTAAAAAATTCGACACCTCTTCAAATATAGGAATATATTCACATAATATTAGATCAATTTATCCTTCACGCCGAAATTTAACCAATGCAACGACTACTTCTAAAATAAATGCCTGTCTCATGACCGTAAAAAAAATCGACACGACAAAATAGCTATGCTCACACACAAGTAGTGCAAAAATCTGACACACCTATAGACACCTGTTTGAAAGTGACGTAGTTTCCTGTTGATCAAATCGTAATCAAAGATAAAAAAGGAAAGGTCTTCATTCCATCGTATTTATTTATTTATGTTACATGATTATTTGTAGATGGCTGAACCGATTTGGCATTTTCTTTTTTAGTTTGGATTAGTATACTTTTTAGTTTAACTCATTGTCATCAGATAATGTTCTGATGATGAGATCTTGGATAAATCAACGGCACTCTTAAATACTATACCTATTCGGGTATTTTAGTCGGACTTCGTGCATTTATTCTATGTAGAAAAGACCATTTGGTAAAGAAGAAATGATAGAGAAGACCACATAAGGTCACTGGAATTAATGGGTTGACGATTTTACGTTTCGATCACTTTAATACAATTGCGAAGTACTAAATGTAATCCCGAACTTTTTTTGTAAAGAATTAGAGCATTGCAACATAACTAAAATACAAACTGGCCTAGTATGAAGTGAAAATTAAAAATTGAAAATTAAGTAAAAAAATATATTTAAAAATAAAATAAACTTCAAAACGGTTCACAAATTAATTTACTTGTTTTGGGTTATCATGACATGAGTGACATCTTTGCATATTAAAAAGCGATTTCAATCTTCAAAAGACTTCTTGAAGTGCGCCATAACAGGCAGTCCTCCGCCTTTCACATAATACGAGCATCACCGACGAATAATTCAAAACTTACTATACTGTAGCTAGTTCGCAACTTTGCGATAGCACAAAGCTACATCTATTTCTGTCGATGCCAGTCGTTGTTGACACAAGAAAATTCTCATGAATGCCTACCACGTTACTTCAAATAAACACGTGTAAACACACAGACAATTACAACTGTATGATTGAAGTACACACACATGTACAGATTCATTCATAAAAGCCGAGTGAATGGACAAGGCAAGCGAAAGCTCTACATGAGATCTGTGCGCCTAGTACCGCGAGCCGACCACTCGGCGGACATGTTGGTCCCTTTATATTAGCGATCACCGCTTTTAGCCACAAATTAACGGTACCATTTACTTATACAATCTACACTACTTGTATTTACATCTATATACACTAAGGATTACTGATTGTATGGCAAAATAAGGAAAGATTGGATTAATTCACAATTAGAATTGAGTTTAGTACACATACATAATTTAAATTTCAACCTACTAGCTTTCGCTCTTTTCAACACGCTTTTATTAGCTTGGTATGTATGTGTATGTCTTACGAATCTTCGAACGTCATTTTGATCCACTTCAAAACGTCTAATTTAATTAAATTTAGCCAGTTATAATAATCAGGAGCTTCAGGTTTGACGGTTCTTGCCAAACCTACACATAAGTGTCTTTTGCTACGTACTGAAAGCCGTGTGCTGAAGCATATGTGACTTACTTGTACTTTTTTAGTCTTAATGAGAAAATAATCATTATTAATTGCAACAAAAGCAAAAAAAAAATATTGTTAAAAACTAGCTGAATTAAAAAGTAGAAAATAATTTTCTGTAAGTTCAAAAAGAATAAACATTGTATCGTAAAAAAGCGTGGGGGGTCTTTTTATAATATTTTCTAATATAATAACTTTACTTTTACCAAAATTACTTTTGTCAATATATTTTTTTGCAACAATTGAAATCTAGCCCTCCACGCATCTATTAATTCATTATTTCTAAATGAAACCCTAGGTAGTCTATATTATGTGTTGCAACGTGTTAGTAGGTACATATGTAAAATTTAAAGATGATCGGATTAACGGTATACGGTGCCGAAATATGAACGAATAAATTTTAATATTGTTTTTATGCATAAGAAAGTACGTACGTGATAAATGAAGGTTGGGTATCATTTTGATTGGCACTTCTCTTAATTCTAATTCTTGACAATGTGAAATAATGACATGGTAAAGTGTTTTCCTCTTAGTCGCTGAGTATTCTATCACACCAAGGTTAGCGATCTTATGAGTCTACGACTATTATTAAACAGTCAGCAATCTGATTAGATTATTTCAGTGGTTACAACTGAATGACGATTTTGGAGATTTCGTCAATTTCCGGCCCGAACAACTCTGACAATCTTTGCATTTTCGCTGTGGTTGGAAACGTAAGAAAAATAAGTTCATTCATAAATTTATTTTATGCGGATTGGTTGGTTAAGCATTAAAAAGCGGTTATATGTGGTGAATTTTATTTTTGTTTATGTGGTAACACCGCAGGATACTGCTAGCATCAGGTAAAGGGACGTTTTTATTAATTTATGTTATCTTTATTATGTTTAAAAAGTCATCGGGACATGCGCAGCACGTCGGTGTATGCATTCACGCATCTAAATGGGATGTTCGTCACCTCGGTACTCCACAGCTACTGTGTACTTTGCATACTAATCTATTCTCTTGACGCCTATACGCACACATAAAATGATATTTTATACGACTAAATAATAAAAATAAAGTAGCCCTTCCATTGAAGGTTTTTCAACCCAAGATATCGAGTCTTCGTGAATGAAATTAAAATTGGTGACACATGGTATTTAATAGATTACGGCAAATTATTTTAGTATGTTTTAGATTAAAGATAGGTAGGTATCGTCTTTAGTATAAATTCTTTACATTTCTAACGATGTTAAAAGATTTGATAAATGAAAGAGAATCTTTCGTCTACATACTTTGAAAAATAATTGGAACTTGTAAAAACAAGTTTTATTTAAAAAAAAAATGCTGAACTAACTAAAATGTTAAGTATATTTAGGAATATGCAACATTTGTAGTTTTCTTCAAAAACACTGTAGGGCTTATGTTTGTAGACACACCTAATCAATATTGAGTATGTTGCAACGCTCATGAGGAGATCGAAAATACTTTATAAGCGATGTTAACCTAACCTTAATTCATGAAGTGGAAGCAATTTAACATATTTCTCTTATTTCACATTAACACTGAAGGTTTAAATAAATTTCTGGACTGGCATGTTTTGTATATTTTGACCACGATCTTTAAATACACACTAATCTATTCTAATCTATCCGCAATCAACTACAGAGCGATTTTATTCAACGCCATCGCCAACTTTGATTAAACTTGGTTTAAATTTGAAATTGTTAGATAACAATAAAAATGGTTTTAGTGACTTTATTTAAACGAAAATGTTATATTTTTATTATATGTTATTATTTCTCTTGTGTAATCTATATTTAAAAAATCTTAAAACTCACCATTTTCCTTTAGTGAGTCGTCCAAAAAAAATAAAGTTTAAAGTATTTTTTACTTTAGAATATATATATTTATGGTAGTATTAATTTTGAAGTCATCAATAAAGTTGTGCATCTGCGAGAAAAAGTCTCGACAAAATCGATTTAGCCATTTTCGTGCTACTTTAGCCCCGACAAAAAGAGAGACAAACTAAAAAGAATACAGACATATTTTGGCTATGGTAGTGAGCTTGAGAAAGACTTGTATTTTAAAATCACAGACAATTCTACTATATTAATATGTACAGTGAAAACTAATGTTGTAAATAAATATTTAATTAAAAAATGACCTGTTTGGGATCTTTTAACCGTATTATTTACACATGAAATGCATATTTTTTATCTGTTGAAAAGATAGTCCGAAGAATATTCACAGACACATCGTGCATTTTAATTGACCAAAGTTAACTAGGATAAATTTCATTAACATTACGTCACTTTATGAGGAAAACATGTTTATCTTCCGAAAACTGTCCCCGGCGATAAGACACCTTAACTTATAAAACACCGTACTTCGGATGTAGTAATACATATTACGTAATGTAAATTTATCTTCGATCTAAAGTGGAAGATTAAGGTATACTACACAATTAAAAAGGCATGTGCTCAACATAACTGAAATACATTAAAAATATTTTGTTTAGACAGATTATATTATCTATACCAATATATTAATTAAAAATAGAACTAGAAAGTTGTTTATTTGTTTAAACACGGTA